AGTGTACATGAATTATATACCTCAATAAAGCTATTATCTAAAAAAAATGCTCTGACATATAATTTGTCATTTCCCAAGGGACACATTTGAATCCCATGTGCTAGGTGGCATTTGGGAGTGAGTCAGGTGGCTAAAGAGTGATACCAGCCAACTGTCTAGCATCGCTCAGTGCGGCTTTGCTCTTCTCTACGTATTGACATTTACCCAGGAACTCTTATGAAATACCAAAAACTTCTGTTTCTCTGGAAGGAAGATGGCAGACAAATAAGACAGAGTTCTTTGGTAAAAGTTGAAAAGGTGGTTTACTTGTGGCACCAGTATCTGTGCAGCAAATCTGAATCTGGACAAAGCCAGAAGCTTGCAGGAACATTTCTTTATTTGAGGATTTAGGGCTTTATAAAGATAGCCCTACTCTTAGGAATTTTAGGGATCCAGTGTACAAAAAACAGGATGGCAGGGACAGTGGTATAGAAACAGAAGCATTTCTAAAAAACTCATTTGAAAGTAATCCCATATACTGTACCAGAAGTAAACTTATGAAACAAGATGAATTAAATGAAAGATTTTCTGGGAAGGTATTTCAAGGTCCTTCAATCCCTGAGATTCTACATTTCTAAAATAAACTTATACAGAACTACAAACTTTCAATTCACAGAGCCAATCACAGCAACACAAAGCATCCTCACAATTAATGGGCCTTGCTAGTCAGGCTGTAGTTCAGGGGATGCTTCTGGCCATGGAACTGAGGAGAATGACTTGCCCAAGATCAATGGGAGATGCTATAGACCAGCCCTCAGGAGCTTTGACTTCTAAACTCATTATTCTGAATGCCCTCCACACGATCCATGCCTTACATACCTTCGGCAATCTGATTTGAAATAAAAGAATTATTTGGAATCACTGGTTTACGACAGGCAAGATTATTCATCCTGGTCCCAGAGGGTGCTGGTAAAAAGTTCACAGGAGGAACACTGTACTTATGATGGGTATTTGTCAGTAACTTGACTATTTCTGATTCTTCCTCTAGGAGTGTTATCAAAGAATATACAACAGGTTCTGAAGTTTCTGCAGATGTCAAGGCCTTGCCATAAAGGAACTCAGAAATATGTAAACGACAAGCCAGAGGTAGATGCTCATTGGTGGAATAAAAGGCCACAAGCGGAGCTTGGTAGGGGTATTTGTGGTCTTTAGAAAATCGAATTTCAAGTTCATATGAAAAAGATGCGTCTTCATTAAGATGAGAATCATCTATGCTTCTTTCTATTCTTCCAACAATTTGATTTGGGGGTACTTCATGCTTGAATTTGCATTTTGATCCAAATTTACAATTTCCTTTGAGGTAAAATTTACAGGTTTCAAGTGAAGTCTCCTGAACATTTTTGGTACTTCCCCTTTGCTTGGGTTTGCAGAATTTACTTGCCAAATATTCCAAATCTAATCCAATGGTCCAGACTCGGTTCTGAATTCTTTCTACAAATTTTTCCCCACAGATTGACTTAAGAGCAAATGCCTCTTCCTGTCGCTGTTCCACACACTCATCCAAGCTAATATGGGCAACTGCCTCAGATGTCTTCATCCTTTCTCCAAATGTTTCTGAAAAACACTGGGTTAGGAGAAGTTCTAGTGATGCCCCAATATCTCCACCACAAATCCTCAGGGCTACTTGACAGCGTTCTGTATTGAAACCATACCTGTCAAGGGCAAAAGATAACAAAAATGATTGGGTGATATCAAATCACTGGAGAGGAATTCATTTAAATACATTTATATAAAATTATAACTATATATGGCACGGCTTGTGTATTTTGAAAACCAGAAAGATCCAAAACCAAACCCACTGCTGTCAAGTCGATTCTGAGTTATAAAGACCCCCACTGAGTTTCTGAGGCAGTAAATCTTTACAGAAGTAGACTGCCCCATCTTCCTTCCGCAAAGTGCTGGTGGGTTTGAGCTATTAACCTTCTGGTGAAGGTAAAATGACATAGGCACTGTGCCATCAAAGCTCCCTGTATTTTGAAAAAGTACCCCAATAATATGATGCTTCCTTAAATCTACCCCTCATTTCCAATTGAGAATAACTGGCCTAAAGAGACAGAATATTAGGCAAATCAGTCATTTCTAGAACCCACACAATATGAACATAACTCAAATAAGGATAGTTGGATATATCAGATGATTTTCACTTCCTTGAAGTCTTCCCAAATCGCCATACTGTTGAAAGCAATTACCTGGAAAGCTTTTGCACTGCAAATGGTGAGACTGTAAATTCTGGAATATGAGGCTCCACCAGGGCTGGGCCAGCATATTCCAAAGGATTAGGATCTAGAATGAGGGAAGCTTCTTGTCCAGCTGACCAGTACTGCTCATCATCACAATGATCAGGCTCATCATCTTCCTCTTCCCCAGAAACACCTCTCCTAGCAAAGATAACATTTGTATATATTAGGTCTACTTACTTCAAAGAAATATTTAGCAAGGGTATAAGAATGTAAATCAAGAAGCCAAAGGATATAAGGTCCTGACTACTCTTCAGTCACTGATTTAATTCTTCAATAACTTGTAATTCACCTCTTGGCAACTAACATTTATTGACGTGGTTCAATCATGGATGACCATGGAGCAGGAGGAGGAAGAAAAACGACCAAGACTTTAGAGTAGGGCTTTGAACTGGTCCAAAGTGGTTCAGTCATGGTCTACCAAGATAAATCAAAAGAGACCTTAACTTTTTAAAATGTGAGTGAACAGGAATGATAACCATAATAGAAAAAATTACAGGTTGCAGCTCACAATGGGAGACTTGAAAGAGCCCTGATGCAGGAGCTGGATTATTGGTGAAACTGCAGAAAGTGACACACATTCAAAGTGAGGCAGTCAGCACCATCTTTGAGCCTTTTGCCGCTGCTTCCCACTCTGCAGGTAAGAGATGTGGTTGCTCTGGAATGAATATGCTGCCATAAGAGGGAGATTAAGTTTTCAGTAGGGCTGAGATTGTAACTTTTCGCATTCTAGTTACTGCTCCAGTTCACCCAAATTTTAAAAAATTAAGTCTATTCTGGCGTTGCTTCCTTGGCTGTGATTGAACCAGGCTGAACTGATTCAAACCTCTGCTTTAGAACAAAAGCTGTTTCTTTTGAGCAGATGATCATGAGAAGTGTAATCTTAAGATTTCATCTGATCAACTCAGTATTTGTTCCTGGAACAATACTTCTACTTGTTCACTACTGGGAGATTATTAATAAAGCAGCTACTGAATCCATCATAGTACTGTCCTAGAAAAAATTAAGATGTGCATTGATTAAGGGTTGCATAGCTGATTATTGTAACTGCTGTCAATAAGATGTACACCTGTAAAAAGTTGAGCTGGTAAAGTAGTGTGATAGCTACATTTACAACAACAACAGGGGAAAATAAAAAAAAAGAGGAGCTGCTGATGTTGTTTATGTACAACCAAAATCCTCATGGAATAGATTTGGTCTCTTGGTTTGGAGGTTTAGGGTCATGGTTTCATAGGACAACTCAGTTAAGTGGCCTAAAGGCATGTTTAGTGGTCCTGTTCTATCTCCTAGTTATGTAGTGTTTGAGGTCTTAAAAGCTTGCATGTGGCCATCCAGGGCATAACAATCGGTCTCTATTTGCCTGGAACAACATAGGAAGAAGAGTGAGGAACACGAGGAAGATATAGAATGTGTGCCCAACTGCCTCTATGAACAACTGCATCCTTTGCCATGAGACCAGAATTGGATGGGCCCAGCTACCATTACTGAACATTTTAATCAAAGATTCTGTAGAAGAATCCTGATCAAAAGTAGGAAAATGCAGAACAGAATTTCAAATTTTCATTGACTCCGGACTTTCTAGAGTCATGAAGGTAAGATGAACTCCTGAAACTACTGCCCTGAGATAATTTTTAAACATTAAACCAAAAATATCCCCTAAAGACTTCTTAAAACTAAACAACAATTTAGCTTAACTAGTAAAAAAATGTCTGCCTTGAGCATTATGCTCTTGTAAGAAATATCTGAATGGGATCAAATAGACAACAGCAACTTGAGAGATTAAATATGAGCGGGCAGTGAATTTATGTTAATGGAGGAGGAACAATTCAGAAAAGGAGGGTAAGAATAGTTGCACAACTTGAAGATTATTATCAGTCACTAAATAGTACATGTAGAAATTGTTAAATTGGTGTATGTTTTGCTTTGCATATTCTCAAAAACAACAAAATAAATTTTTTTTGAAAAAGGAAAAACTGAAAAAAAAATTGAGATGAAAATACAACCTGTATCATTGCTCATGGATGTTGTAAAACAAACCTGCTCTACAACTGTTACTGGTTCATTTTCAACTATTACAAGGCTACAACAGGATCAGTATTCATCCACTAGTTCCAAAAACATACAGGATCTCCACACTAACCATACATCGTCCTTAATATAACAATTTACTCAAATAATTGCTCAAATAAAATAATTTACTCAGATCCAGCATCCGCATCCTGTTCTTGCAGGTCTCGGAGAAGAGCTTTCACTTTCTCTTGATTCTCAGAAGTCATATGTAGAGTCTGGAGGGGCACTTTGGCTTCGGGCCTCCGTTTGGGGCGTGCCTCTCCTTTGCTTATGCTACTGCTGCTAGGTCTACAAAGGACATGAGAACAATCAAAACTTTACACTCTCCTCGGAGTGCCCAAATAAACACAACATGAACTGGATTGTCATATATTTTACAAAAGATAACAATTAATGTGAAGAGATTCTCCAGTTTTCTACAGTATTCACCATACTTTATTATACTGGAACTACTGGAGAAAACCTAATCTCATTCTTAATCATTAACTGTGGCCTCAGTAACTCAGGAATCCTCAGAAAACACAATGCTAATGTTAACTCCCTCTGTGCTATAAGGGCTTAGAAAAATATGCCACATACCCATATACACCCACTGCCATCGAGTCAATTCTGACTCATAGAGACCCTACAGGACAGAGTAGAACTGCCCCATAGGGTTTCCAAGGCTGTACATCTTTACAGAAGCAGACTGCCTCATCTTTCTCCCATGGAGCAGCTGGTGGGTTCAAACCACCAATCTTTGGGTTAGCAATGCTTTAACCACTACACCACCAGAGCTCCTTATGCCACACACAAGAGTACTTACTGCATTCCACTTTAGGTATGCAATCTGAAAACAATTAATAGTCTCATCTTATAAATAGGCTCTATTTTTGAAATACTTACCCATATTATCATTATTTCCTAATTATAACATTAAATAAGAATTAAAAAGTACAGAACAAAGAAGAAAAAAAATCAGATTCACTGTCATCGAGTTGATTCTGACTCATAGCGACTGCGACCCTATAGGACAGAATAGAACTGCCCCACAGGGTTTCCAAGGCTGTAAATCTTTACAGAAGCAGACTGCCTAATCTTTCTCCCATAAAGCTGCTGGTGGGCCAAACTTTTGGTTAGCAGCTGAGTGCTTTAACCATTCTGCCACCAGGCCTCCTTAAAAGAAAACAAAAGCCACCACAAAATCATACCATTCTTTTTCATATGCATTTTTTAATAAAATTGCATAGCATGTGTAGTCTTTTATAAATTGATTCATTCCCTTATCAAAATAACACTGCCATGTCCCTGAGTGGTTACATAGAGATACAGACGTATCATTATTTATCTCACCAATCTTTATTTTTGGAATTTAGATTATTTGAGGGACTCTTTTTAAAACAGTAAGTTCTACAGTTTAATTTTATTTACTTTCTCTTCTTCTGACATGTTTTATTATGAATTTTCACAAATCTGGTGAAACAGAAGAAAATTGCTTTTTATTTAAAATCTACCACATTACTGAACTTTGAAAAGACTCACCCATTAACCTTTGCAAAGCTGTAGCAATGGAGAAAACAGAATCAACTGTGATTTTTAACTACTTAGTTGGAACATCTGAAAAGAAGTAATGTCACCTAAAATCCTCCAACTTTTTGTTTAGAAAAAGTTAAATCTAAAAATATGTAGAATAATTATACAATACTGTTTACCTAAATGCACCAATTGTTAACATTTTGTAATATGCACAAACATACAAATACATAAGTCCCTTTTTTTTTTTTTTTAAAAAACTAGTAATTTTCTTTTTCTTTTTTGTTTTTTTAAATTGTAATTTGGGTGAAGATTTACAGAGCAAATTCACTTTCCATACAGCAGTTCATATACACTTTGTTTCATGACATTGACCACAGTTTACCACAATGCAACAGCTCCCATCCCACTTCTTCTCCATAGTTACCTCTTCCCAGTGTCCATCCCTACATGCACTCCTGCCCCCTGAGCTGTCTCCCTGTGTATAAGCAGACCTTCTTTCTCCCCTGATTGTTCTCTCCAAGGAGTATATCTACCT